TTATAATATTTTAAGGGAATCATGGCACTAACTTGGCCATACAAAACTTTATCCTACATCCAATGTGACTAATCTCTTCACATGTCATAGACAGGAAAGCAAAACAAAAACCACAAAAAGCCCAACTTGCTGCCGAAAAAGAACCCCAAAATAATAGAGTTATTCTTACTGGTTTTGGTCCCCCAAATAAGGAAATCTTGAATAATTCCCATAAACCTGAGTTCCTTAACCATAATAATTTTACACCTTACTTTTGCTATGCTGATATCTGAAGATATATAAAAATCTTTGTGACGATGCTGTTATTTTACTCCCATGAACAGATTACAGTAAACATGAAAACCTTTGCCATTTCGTGGTTCCTACCTGTAAATACTTATATTTTGTACTTAACAATAAGTCTCTCTGAAATCTGACTTGGCTTGCACCCTTTGTTTAGACTTTTTTTCCCTTTTAAATGCTCTGTCTCTGATTATTCCTTTGACTCTAGGATGTTGTTGGAGCAATTTACCTGGTAGCTAGTTTATTTTACCATTGATAAGATTAAAAACTTGTGTAGGGCAAGAGAGTAGGCTAAGTAAAGGCCCCCTAAACACATGACAATCACTGAAATCTGTGAATGTCAATCTTATATGTCATTAAAGACTTTGCAATATGATTAAGTCAAGGATTTTGAGATGGGAAGATTATCCCGGATAAACCAGGTGGGCCTTAAACATGATCACATGTATCTTTACTATAGGGAGGCAGGGGAAACATGAAGATGGAAGAGGAGAAAACACTGTGACCTGGAAGGCAGAGATTGAAGTTGTGCAGCCACAAGCCGAGGAATGCTGGCAGCTGGAAGAGATGAGAAACAGATTTTCCCCTAGAGCCTCTGAGGGAGTGTGGCCCTGCTGACACCCTGATTTTAGCCCAGTGAAACTGATTTGGATTTCTGGCTTTTAGAACAGTGAGAGAATGAATTTCTGTTTTTTTAAGACACCAGGTTTGTGGTAATTTGTTACAGCAGCCGCAAGAAACTAATGCACCTGTTATAAGCCATTTGGCATTCCTACCAAAGATATTAGATAAAAAAGATTAAGTATAGTATTTAGCACATAGTAGATAAACACTCATATGATATCAATTTCTTAAGGGAAGCCCATTTATAGCGATGACATGGCAGTAAAGGTAATTTAGCGTTGTGTTACAGAATCTCAGGATGACACATCTTAAAGTCCTTCAGCCTATGATCAGGTGGCTATTAAGTGGTACAAAATATAGAGAAAAAAGTAATGCAGATAAGAAACCAATAAGCGACTGTCACTTATCTAATCAGAGTTATTAAAAGGACTAGTTAATTAGCTGATAATTACTGTTTAAAATTAGCCAAGAATCCTTTTAAGAATTCTATATATTCATTTCATAATCATTTAATCCTTACCATAACTGTTATCATCATTTTACAGATGAGGAAAAGGAGGCAAAGAAAGATTAATTACCTTGTCCAAGGTTGCATAGCCAGAAGCTACCAGATTTTGATTCTAACTTAGATTGGTTAATTTGAGACTTTTCTAAAAGTAGGAGAAAATGATGGTGACATTCTTCTCTGTCAAAATCATATACTGTGCTCTTAGTTTGTCTATTGAATAAGCATATCGGAGTAGTTACCATGGATCAGAAAAATATTCTTTAACAATCATGATGGGGACCTTCTATTAATGACAAACATCATAATTACTTACAGAGGGTCTGTATATATGTTTCCATTTAACACATTTGTGGTCAGAGTTGTTTACGCCTACAAAGGATCTCCAAACTGTTGACTGGTCAACACTTCTTATTACCTAACATGTGGCTCTACGACCCACAATGAGTATCCATTTATCTGAAATTCTCATGGGCTGAAATTTCAAGACTGCCTTATTGATCTCCTTCTGAATATTTATTAGTTGTTACAGGCTTAAAGAAATGTATTCTAAAATATTAGGCTTTAAATACAAGTGTATTCTGCAAGATCATTTTGCCCTATAAAACTTTTCATTAGAAACCATCACCCTGATATGGAATCAACATTTTTCAAGCTAACAAATACTCTATTGCAGGGAACTCCTTCTCTCTACTCACCAGGGGCCGTTTATATGAGCAACAATTTGGTGAATGACATTTGGTAATCTAGGAAATGTTGAATTATGGTTGCAAGTTTTTTCTATGCAAGCTTAATGTTCCAATGTATTACTTTAGGAATTCAATACAGGGTCGCAAGTACATGTATTATTCTGTTTATATTTATAAAATAAATTCCTACCTCCCTTCCTTATGTGAAAAAAAAAAATGAGGTTAATTTAGTTCAAAGGTAAACCTTAACTAGCATGTCAGTGGTTATACCTTTAAAACCATAATCAGTACTCATTGCCAGGTTACAAGTTAAGGATCTTATCCTTTAGCTCCATGAAACCGCTGTATTCTTCCATAATGAAAAACAGCAAACAAAATAAACAGAGGGACAATGCAGAAATAAAAGTTAGCATGATATAATTAATTAAAATTATTTAATGTGAATGACTATAAAAAGTACCTAATTTTCTATGAAAAAATAATCAGAATTAAGACTGATTAATTCTTTGGCACTTTAAAAATTGATTAGTTAGCATTTTTGTATGGAATTGTTTTGGAAATATATATTCTCTGTGATAACATGTTTTTTGATTTTTTATATTCCAGTGGATGAGTAAAACATCTAGGTGCAGACTCCCAGGGCTTTCACAATTACTTCCACACTCCTAAGATATTTAGAATACAATATGAATCCCTTGAAGGAGAAAAAAAAAAGAGAGAGAGAGAAAGAGACAGTAGAATATGATCTAGCTTCCAACGTTACCAATTTTTCTTTTTCTTTTTTGGGCAGCCGGCCTTGACATTTGTGTTATTGATACCACACACTAACCAACTGAGCAAACCACCCAGCCACCAAAATTTTTATCTTCCCCCCTAAAGGCACCTGCTTCACAATAATAAATATTTTTAGACTCATATTTACTGGTTTGTTCACTGTCTACTATTACCTAGGATAGATTGTATCTTTTCTTGTAAGAGTTCAAAATGTTTTGATAACAATTTCAATTCCTAACTATCTGTCACATATAAGTATAACTGACATGGAATAGGGCATACAAAAAGCAGTATTTATCTCCATATAAGAACTGTTATAAAATCTTTACATACATATAAGAAGAGTTATAAATAAATCATTTATTTTCACTGACCTATTTGGAAATAAAGAGCAGTCATTGTTCTACCTCAATTACAGAAAGGAAATTAAGTAATAAAATAATTTTTTTGTTTACATTCACACATACAAATTGTGGAAAAAATAAACTATCTCTGATGCCCAGTTCAGTGTCAAACAGCTCCGTTTTCTCTTTCTTGACAAATATTCACCTTCCCAAAATGTATTCGGTCTACTCAAAAAATATATTCAGGTTACTAATCTCCAGCCCAGCCTTTGAGAAATTGATTTTAAACTTTAAACAAATTCACTGTTTTAATTATGGAAGACTCATTAGTTTAATAAACCCAGTCTACACCCCACTGCTCAAAGACTTTAACAGAAGGATTCTAATAGAGCCAGGTCCAAAATGCTAATAGTGCCATCTGCATCACTACATTCACTCTAGTAGCATTGCTATTAAATTAATAGTACTGTCCACAAGATAAAACTGCAGAGACCCCAATCGTGTGGAACCAGTTGAGTTTCTATTTAACCTCCAGCAGATAGAAGCATATAGCCAGTTCAGTCATGGTTCACTTAGTCAAGAGCTGTGTCCAATTTCCCTTACCAAAGGAATTAAGAACCAAAAAAGGAAAGAGAACAGTAGGAAGACATTAGTTTCCTAAGTACAAATATAAATAGGTTTCAATTGAGTGAGCTTCAATGCCCTGATTGTATAAGGATTGGCTGACCAATCTGGAATGAACTCAAACATTAAGATTAAAGATATCATAACTGCAGAATGATCTGAGCTCTTCAAGAAAAGGAAGTACATGAAAAGTATTTTAAAAACAATGGCGTGGCATTGTAATATAGATTTACATGCTAGTGTAATTTAAGTTAAATTAGAATGTCTATTATTTGAAACTTCACTATCTGCAACTGTAGATTTTACCACAGATAATTTTGCATTAGCCAGTTTTTGATAATAAATATTGGACAACATATAATTTTTATCCCAGGAAAATTTTTTCATTTTCAGTCTGTATCGCATAAATATGATGAGTATGAGATTTTTATCTTTACCCTGGGTCATCCAAAATCATGCATAATCAAAAACTTGGGCATGCATGGAAATACACTGTTTGGAATGTCTTTGCTTTCTGAAATAAGGTTCTTTAAAGTTTATGTCTACATGGGTTACCCCCAGAAAAGTGATGCTTGTAAGATGAACAAGACAATGCTGACCATTATTAATATGCTTCTGCTGTAAGACTGCCATTACTGGATTTAGTTCAGTTGAAAGGGATATTAATCATCACATTGTCACTGTCCGTCTCCCCTTGAGGCTGTGTAAAAAAGCTGTGGGGCCAGGACATGCTTCAGGGAGGTAATAAAATGACTGAACATCTCCACCAAACTTTGTAAAGGTATTGCATGGCATCAGAAATTCAGGTTAAAAAAATTGAGCTCTGACTTATTACAGTAATTTATTAAAAGAGGAAAAAGTATTTTCTCAGTCAGTCAAAATATATATTGTTATATATATGTATTACTTTATTAAGTAAAAACCGGTTGTAAATATTACAAAGATTGCCACACATTTTAATGTTACTTTGATTTCAATCATTGAACGTATTCTGATAAGCATTTATATCAGAAGTTAACTGAGGATTAAATGCACTTATTCAAACAATATCAAATATTTTAAAACAAAAAACACTAAAGATGAAACTTTTTCCCATATAGACATACAAAAATATATATCCTTTAAAAAGTAAGAATAAACGTAAAATTAAACATATACCTTTGGTTTGTATTTTCCTTTCAGGTTTCTGCTGCTTTTCAGTCTTTTCTTTGTGGATTTCTAGGAAAAAATAGAATTTATAATTTAAAAACTCTTTGAAAATAGTATAAAATTTAAACCATAGCTATGATAACAACTTTACAATTCCACCACAAAGTCTAAATTATTATATACAACAAGCTTATTGGTGTCTAAACAGAAAGTCTTTGTAATACACTGCTACATAAATTGCTTATTTATTAAAATAAGGGGAAAATTGGAGTTATCTCAAAATCAGAGTTATTTTGAAATCATAGTTATCTTGAAAAAGCTTAAAAATGTATGTCAACAGAGATAGGTTGTCACCATTTTCAGTGCTAAAATTGATCACAAACTATGATTATGTTTCATTTCAATTACTCTCAATACAAATTAAGAATCCTTAATAAGAATGTCATTTAGATTTAGGAAGATTTAGTTTTTCATATTAAATTAAGAATTTGTGAAATGAACTGTAACAACTAATAGGAAATATATTTCAACAGTATTGACTCTAAGCTATGTTTATAATCAGCATTTGGCATTACATTTAACTAATAATTACTGCAAGCAGATATGACACATTTCATAGAATGTTAGTTGTATATTTTTTCTAAGTATCAGGTTTTAACAAATATATTCAATTTACTGCTAGTTTCAGTATACATACATTGCCAAGGCTTAGAAAGTAAAGTTAATTCTGAATTTGCAGTTAATTTGGATAGAAGTAAATTTGAGATTAGAGTTTGCAAATATGATTACTACCTCTGAAAAGTGACTTAATCTTAAATACATGGTTTTTCTTAGAAAATGCTAATGAGGTTTATTTATTTATTTATCACAACTTTATTCCACAGATGGTCTGAGATGGTGCTAATTACTGTACACATTTTAAATTCTCCATTTGAAAATTTGCATTTGCATTTTTGTAAGTTTTCCAGAAGTCTACAAAATCAAGACCAACCATAGAAAAACTCTAAATATCTTCAGAAAAGACAGCTGCTGGCTTTAATTCACCTGTTAAGGAGGTAACCACTACCGTGAAGATTTCCTGCCATTTTCTTCATTAATTCGTCATCTTACTATTTACAGGGTCACTTGTCCATCCTATTCCCACCTTTGACTTTGCAGATGGACATGTAGATATAAAAGAGGTGATGCATTCATTCAGATCTCCAAAAATATTTCTCCAAGGTGCCAGGAAAGATCTCCAAAGGACAGAGAAAACTTCCACCTTCCTGTCTCTCTCATCATTTTTTGTATCTTTCCTTAATGTCTCCAAATTCTACTCCACAGCAGGTTTCTCACCTTAGCACTATAGGCTTTTTGGATTGGGTGGGTCATTATTTGGGGTGGGGTGGGGCCATTCTCTGCATTCTAGGGTATTTAGCAGTATTCCTAGCCTCCACCTATTAGATGCCAGCCGCCACCCCCAACTCAAGTCATGATAATAAAAAATGTCTTCAGACATAGTCAAGTATCCCCATGTTGGGCAAAATGAATCCCAGTTGAGAACCACTGCTCTAAAAATACACAATAACCAGCCTAATCACTCCTTGTCCCTGTTTAGACCTATACCGTCTAATGCAGTAGCCACCAGACATGTGTACATATTAAGTACATGATATGTTAGTCCAGATTAAGATGTGTGATAAGTGTTAAGTGCACACTAGATAATGAAGATTTAGTGTAAAAAAGAAATAAAATATCTCATTAACAATATTTACATTAATTATATTTTGAAATATTATTTGGGGCATACTGAGTGTGATAGTTTTACTGATGAGTCAACTTGACTAGGCTACTACCCTAAATTATGCAGATTAACACTAATCTAGGAGTTGTGTGAAGGTATTTCACAAATGTAATCAAAATCACTAATCAGTTGATGTTAAGTAAGAAGCTGGTTCTGGATAATCTGGATGAGTTTACCTGATTCCATTAGAAAGTCTTAAGAACAGGCCTGAGCTTTCCCAGGGCAAGGGAAGAAATTCTGCCTGTGGATGACAGCTTTGGTCCATGCCCAGGGGCTCAAGCTGGCCCATCCACAATCTTCCCCTCCTGACTGTCTGTCTTCTAGCTTCAGACTTGCTGGGTCAGTCTCTACAATCACATAAGCTAATTCTTTGTACTAATTTTTTTTGCTGTATACGTGTATCTGCATACTCTCCTACTGGGTCTGCTTCTCTGTTTGAGCCCTGACTGATACATTGGGTTAAATAAGATTTATTACTAAAATTAGTTTCATATTTTTTCTTTTCACTTTTTTAAATGCAGCTACTAGAATACTTTAAATTACATACATGGCTCACGTTATATTACTACTAGGCAGTCCTGGTCTAGTCCTAGGAGAAGTAAATGACCTTTTTAAAATCTTAGAGTCACTCACAGGGTTAAATCTTTATCAAATGAACTGAAAACACAAGCTTGATATTCTGCCCTGCCAGTACTGTTCTGCTTCTTCCCTCCTACTCAGATCAAGAGAAGCTATGGAGAAAATTGGTGCTTTGTATAACTCCAGCTCATAAAGCAAGCAAAATGTCAAAGATTTAGAGTAGATTCTAGATATGCTAAGGAAGTACGTTTAAGGGAAAATTTATTCTAGTAGGTATTAATTTGAATCAGACATGGGATCAAATTTTCAAAGTTAAAAAATTACATGAAATGCTATATTAATTATGCTATGAGGTCTTAAAATTGTTGTTTAGAATATTTTTTTCCTTTAGAGGTAGGGGTGTGTGTGTGTGTGTGTGTGTGTGTGTGTGTGTGTGTGTGTGTGTGTGTGCCACAGAAACCTGCTGGCCATTTAAAAGAATAAAGGTAAGATTCTAGAACTCACACGGGAGGATTAAGGTGAGCAAGAATCTTCTGCAGGATTGGTGCTGAAGGTCATCCTGCCTGCACAATCCAGTCAGAGCCTCCTAGCCTAACTTAGATTTTGAGAGGTATACTGTTTGGACAGGTAGTGGATTGTGGAACTAGACAGTCCATGTTGGTCCATAGCAAGGTTTTCTGCAAAGTAGGTGGGAAGTTTGCACATCAGAAAACAGATGAAAGAAGTAGTAGCAGGAGCTGCTTTGGCTCCTCTTAGCTCTGTATGAAGCCACATCTCATCAAAGGGAATGAGTGCTAGATTATAACCAGAAGTGAATTGAGCAGGAATCCACCCTGGAGGGAAAAAAATCAAATAAAGGCAAATTTCAAAAGGACTGGGATCAAGAACACCACTCAATGAAAGGGAAAAGCAGGGAGCAAATTTATTCTCTCCACCCTTTCCCAAATTCATGAAAGGGAGGTAACTCTAAAGTGGAAGATAAATACTTGCATGTTGGATACACTTCATAAAGAGTTTTACTTAAGCAAAAATAAAAATAAATGAAACTCAAGGAGAATTAAACTGAAAAAATGGCAATATATTTTACAGCATTTCTTTTACTCAATGATAAATGGAGTAGACACACTCAGTTCTGCAATTCAGACCAAACTCAAGGAAAAAGCCCCAGTTTCTTATTTTCCTGATTTTGCACTTTAGCTTTGTACAAACTAAGACAGGCACACTCCTCTGGACAGATCCACTCACCTTTCTTCTAAATAGGGTTCACAAATACTTAAAAAGATACACATACAATAAAAATTTATACAGCTCACAACAAGCAGAAGTATGATGACTTATATGGACAGTTTTTCTGCAGAAACATCATCAACTAACGTTTTAGCTGAAAGTCCACTTTAAGTCCATAAATATTTTTATAGAGGCAAGTATAGACAAGCACAGCAAAACAAGTAAAGGCATACACACACCTACATTTCTTTGCTAACAGAAGACAAAAGAAATTAATTTGTGATGATTCAAACTTACGGAGAAATTAAATGTCTCTCTGCATGTTTTATTACAACATTTTCTTTGGGGTTTGGATTCCATCACAGGTGTCACTGTCTATGTCTATCAGATATCAGAAGGATCCAATGAGGTCTCTGCATAATGTATCAGTTCTCTCTCCTTGCACTTTAGCCAGGAAATGATGAAAATTCAGCTTATTGTCCAACTGAGTAACAACATGTTACCAATTTAGACTTCAGAAAGATTTTTTTTCCTCATATGCAGACAGACGATTCCTGATTTGTTACCTTCAATTGCTCTTTCCAGCCAAGAACCATTTGTACAAGGTTAGAACATTCAATTTAAAAGATTCAAGCCATTAAAGGTTTATTGTTCTGTGGTTTTCAACAAACTTCAAAGAAAAGTAAAATTTGCTATATTATATCAATACTAGTTTCTAGCTATTTAATAATTTCCATCAACAAGTAAATGCTTACATTTTGCATAACATGACAATTGTGCATCATAGCATAAAACTTTGTTTAACATCATGACACTGTTTAAGTAACAGTTTACTTAAACCTGATCTAAACTTGGATACAGGGGACAAAGAATGAGGTCAAGGCAGTCATTATTCACCTCCAAATATATCACCTTTGCAATTAGGTGGAAGTCCAATGTCTATGAAAAGATGTTAAGTCTCAGAACCAGATGCTAGTTGGAATCATAAGGCATTTTCGTAACCAGTAAATCTTAAAGATTGTTTGTGGCTTAGAAGGCACAGAGGTTAAAGCATCTCAATCCAGGTGTGAGGCCGTCCATAGTTTTTTTTTTAATGTTTTGTTTTGTTTTTATTGGTTATGAATATTCATGGGGTACAAAGCAAATTGTTACCACCCAATTATCCCCTCAATTATCCCTGACCTCCCTCCCCATTGCCCTTTCCCCACTCCACTTTGTAGCCCTAGGAACGTTCTCTCCCTCTGCAAGTCCAACACACTACTGTGGTCTTTCTTTCATTTCTTCTTTATCTCTTAGTCCCCACTTATGAGAGAATACACATGGTATTTATCCCTCCATGCTTTGCTTATTTCACTCAACATAAGTTTCTCAAAGCTCATCAATGTTGTTCAAATGGGAGAATTTCATTCTTTTCTGTGGAAGAGTAGTATTCCATAGTGTATATATACCACATTTTCCTTATCTAATCATCCATTGATGG